GTAGCACCTCATTAAAGGAACACTGTAGGGTCAGGTACACAAACGTATTATTGACCCTATAGTGTTGAAAACACCATCTAGTCCCCCTTACCCACCTAAATAAAGTGAAATTTTACTTGTATTCCAGTCTACTGCTGCTGTCTCTTCCCCGGTTTGCCTGCTTGGCTGATATCATCAGAAGTGATTCTCTAAGCCAAACACAATGCTTTCCCATAGGACTGGCTGAGACTGACAAGGAGGCAGATCAGGGGCAGAGCCAGCACAAGCCAAACACAGCCCTGGCCAATCAGCATCTCCTCATAGAAATGTATTGGATCAATGCATCTCTATGAGGAAAGTTCAGTGTCTGCATGCAGAGGGTAGAGACACTGGATGGCAGTGCTGCTCACTGTGCAGCACTGCTCCAGGAAGCACCTCTAGTAGCCCAAGGAGTGGCCAGTGGAGGTATCCCTAAGCTGTAATGCAAACACTGCATTTTCTCTGAAAAGACAGTGTTTACTGCAAAAAGCCTAAAGGGAATGATTCTACTCACCAGAACAAATACAATAAGCTGTAGTTGTTCTGGTGACTATAGTGTCCCTTTAATTACAACATCTATTTCACCAAAGGCACCACTATTACAACAAGCACATTAACTCATTCACCAAAAGTATTGTATCCTCAGTTCTTCAACCACTATAGCATTTTCTTCAGGACACTCACAACCACCTTCTTCACTAATAACCATCTGTCAGGAAACGGTTGGAACCTAAACATACAGATCTATGTCACAACAAATAGCTTTTCTATGTACTGGTCCTTATAGTGTCTGGACTAATGGTGGACAGTGTCAAAGAGAACGGCTGAGGTCAAGGACAGGAGAAATATGGATAAAAGGTAAACTAGCCATGGTCAAATGAGTACAGAGATCAGGATAAACATTAAACAATGTCAATATATAGATTCCAGAAAAAGGATACGCAAGAATGCGCTATTGGGCTAAACTATTCATTAACAACCAGTTCTACTTCATCTATAAAGTAATATCACATCTTTCAGCTGCAAGTCCCATCTCAATCACCAACAAAACCTCAGTTGGGAGTAGTCAGTATCACCTTTACTAGAAATTAATATTACCTCCTTCAACAAATAGGACCTTTTTCAGCAACCAGTACAATTAAACTTGTAGCACATTTTTTAAGTAACATGAACTTCTTTAGCAGCCAGTACCACCTGTTTCTGGATTCTACTTTTAGCACCTCCTTCAACATTCATCACCACCTGTCTCACCAGTAGAACTCCATCTGCAGCCAGTACCATCTTCTTCAGCAGCAATGTCTTCTTGAGAGGACAGCACCATCTCCTTAGACATTGTCATATTCTTCAGCAACAATTGCACTTAATTTGCCACTCACCAACACTCTGTATAATAGTGAATTTCATCTATTTATCCCATAAGTGGATTGTGCTACCTATCAATGTGATAAACAGAAAGAGGTAAACTCATGTACACTCAAGTCCAGGCATAGCTTTTACTAACCTGCCTGGTTTCCTCCCATTTCTCCAGGAAATTTCTGTACTCGCTGTAGGATCTCCAGTAGGACTTATCCTTAACAAAAAGTGCTTATGGTTATATATGTTTCCATTTTGTGTTTCTAAATGAGTACCACTGTAGAAATTTTGTGTTGAGGATTCCAAGAGGAACTAGAAAATGTGAGAAATCACAATTTTTAAATCTCACGTTTTAAACAAATTAGCTTCCATCACTGGTATTTAGTTGCTGACTGTAGTT